TGCTCTCACCTTCCCTGGAAATCTTCAAGAGGAGACTGGATAGGCACCTGGCTGAGGTCTTATGACCCCTGCCACCCCCAGGGCTCCTTCCTGCCCATGGCAGGAGGTTGGACTAGATGATCAGTCTAGGTCCCTTCCGACTCATTGATTCTATGATAAGAATTTCTTTACTGTCTGACCCCAAAGTCTGGAACAGCCTGCCATCAGAGGTGGTTCAAGCACCTACATTGAACACCTTCAAGAGTAAATTGGATGCTTATCTTGCTGGGATTCTATGACCCCAGCTGACTTCCAGCCCTTCAGGCAGGGGGCTGGACTTGATGATCTTCTGAGATCCCTTGCAGCCCCAATGTCTATGAAATCTGCCCTAGAGTTCTCTTTTTTAAGGAGAAATCAGTTTTAGGTTGCAACTGGAGCTCCATGGAAGGCACTCTAGTAGAAGCTGCATAGAATTTGTTTTGCATTATTGCATATTCTGACTGTATCCGTGCATTAGCTACTGCTTTTCCCATTTGGGTTCTAGTTGCTTTCCACAGGCCCCCTTAGCACACTTGCTGCCATGGAGCATTTTTCTCAGGTAAACATTTTGTAAATGTTTTTGGAGTTGGACCCATTAGGAAATTGGAAATGGGATATCCACCATTTTACTTCTCAAAGTCTATTTAAGTTAAAACCCATGTGAAAATTGTTATCCTGACAGTTCAGTAGTCTTCAATCTAATGAATAACTAACTAAATACGAGTTGTTGGTCTCTGTCTAGGTCTTTTTTTAAACGTTTGTTACTCAGGCAACTGTAGAAACAAAATTCCAGTGCAAGAGTAATACAAAGAAATTCTGTAAAGTTGAATTTGCTACATCTTTAAAAAGAAAATATACAGCAACTCTTATAATTTATCGGGTATTATTTATATAATGAATATATTAATAATTATATGATTCAGTAATTTTGTGCACAAACTAAAACTTCCTTTACTGGGGCATTCAGTAGATAATCCAGTAGGTCCAAAGGGATGTTATCACTCACCACAGTAGTTATCGCTCTGGTCACTTCCTCCCAGAATATTTGCACCTCTGGGCACAACTACCACAAATGTGAAAGAAGCCTCTTTCTCCTCAGCATCTCCAGCATGATGTATTAAGGTGCCATCCTACGCTGCATTTGTTAGAAGATATGTATTCAGTCTTAGCTGGAGATAGGTACCATCTGTGGAGTATTTTGTTAAAGTCTATTTTTGTAAAACAGATATAGAAGGTGCTGTTTCTCTCCATTTAGCCATCTCAGTATTTTTTCCCCAAGTCTTTCCCAAGCTTTCATTTGCTAAATCTCTTGTGTCCATCTCTTTCTCTATTAAAATTGCATATACTTTAGATCAGAACTGTCCAACCAATGGTCTGGAGACTAAGGGATTAAGTTGCAGCCCCCAGGCTCCTACACATCTGTCCCTCCCCCATCAGTCCAGAGTCTTGGGGCTCCCTCTGCCTGTCCCTGCTCCAGGGGGCAATGCAACACAGCATGGGAAGCAGAGGGTGAGGTTGGGGCCACGTGGACATAAGGTGCAGCAGTGCAGGGAAAGGAGTGCCCACGTGGGTGTGTGGTGTGGCTGGGGGATGTCCATATAACATGCTGCCCGGGGAGTCTGTGCCTTGCCCTGTTGTGGTCCATGTGCAGCCCCTGCTGGTGTAGCCCACAGAGTGGGCAGCCCCCAGCTCCTTAGAAGTTGGATAGCCCTGCTTTAGAGAGAATCCTTTTTCTGTGGTCTCAGTTTATTTTTGTTAACTAACAACAATGTTGGCAGTTTTGGCAGAAGCCAAGATCTGGCTGGTGATAAAACTATTTCGTCATTTCTAGCAGAGATGGGCACTAATTGAAACCCTGTGCCCAAACATGAATAAAGTGTAAATCTTGGAAATCCTTGTCTGAGTGGCGTGCCTTGTTCCCACATTTAATTCCTAAAGTAAGTCCTCACATATCTAGGTTGAGACATATCAGAAAGGTACATTTCTGTATCTGTTCTGTGAATAGTAGGTACTGTCATTTTGGAAATTTACTTAAATATTTACATACATATTTAGTATTATTTTTAACTGAACAATCAGTATCACTTCGGAGTTTTGCATATCATTTTATGATGGGCTTTTACTTTAGAAGATAAAAATAATTTAAACAAGGTAACAAGATTTTTAGTTAAAATTAAAATTGTCAAAGGGGAAAAAAAGAAAAACGTGTTTATTGGGTAGGTACTTCATTATAATGATTCCATTTGCCCTTTTCCATTTGTGATAGTTAGAAGCATGTGTCCCACACATTATATTTCCCTTTCAAATTTGCCACATGCATAAAATGCATTATAAAACTAAAGTGAAGTGATCTTGAATGTTATTTGGATTTTATTATTCAGCATCAGATTTCATCAAATAGGGAAGCTGTGTTTTGGTGAAATATACAAGCTATTGCCAATCTGTAAAACACACTATTATAAAATAGGAGCATTAGTTAAATTACAAGATCTTATAAAAGAAAGTTTTTGGTATTTATAGCACATCAGATTCAGGGTGAATGATTCCCTTTTAATTATTATTAAAAAAGGATTTGAACTTTCTTCCTTCACATTTCTGTTTAATGAAAATAATTTGCTTTTAACTTGAAAAAAATCTTTGTAATATTTTGCCTCCTACAGATTCTTTCATATGGAAGTAAATCTGAAAAAGCCTATATTAGAAAATAAATTACTTGGCTGGTCATGTTCTGTATTTTATTTACTTAATACTTAAGATATTTGTGCTTGGCTAAACATCTCTTACAGCAAATTTTATTTTATTTGATCATGGAGAGAATTTATAGGCTTGTGTTTCATGCTACTTTGGAGCTCTGGAAGTGTATGGGATGCCATACTTCATCTGCTTCACTTTATAGTGAAAGGTTTGCTCTCTTTTGGAATGATGTCAGAATATGGAAATATTCTGTGAAAAAAATTGTGTTAGTGCAATGCTATGGTGATAAATGCAGCACTCAAAGTGAGGAATCTCAGAGTTACAGTTGAAAAATCCTCCTAAAATGTATTTCATCTATAAGTTATTCATAAAATTATTTAGTGTATATACTGGTATCATATAATCCAAAATGCCTTCTATAACCTGCTTAAAAATGAGTTAGTAAACAGTACACCCAGTTGCTGCAGGCTTTTTGAAACAGGAGCTATCTTTTGGTGGTGCGTTTATACAGTGCCCTGGCCTTTGATTGGCAAACTACAATTGATATATAATCATATGACTACAGTTATATAATTGATATATAATATATTAATTGAGATTATAAGTGTGTGTGTGTGTGTGTGTGTGTGTGTGTGTGTGTGTGTGTACACATGCGCATACATATAATATTTAACAATTTAAAGGAAAACAAGCATGAAGAAAAATAGATTTATAAAATATAAAATTCAATATCTGGAGTTTTGTAAAGGTTTCTGAATTTGTTTTTCCCTCATCTAAACTTTTTAAGGGATTGCATCATTCTAAAGCAGAAGCTGTTAAACTGGCCCACTGATCTCTAATCTGCATGCATGTGTGTACAGGACTTGTAGTACACATCATAGTGCTGACCCAACTCATTTTCTCCCATTACAAATGGGAGGAAGGTGGTCTACAAACAAAATGTCTCTACTAAAATATAGCCCACATAAAGCTGAAAGGCAGGATGGTGTGACAGGGGGGCACATTTGGGGTTGAGTCTCAAGCTGGCCTGCCCACCTGTTTACAGGGCAGTCTGCCCAGTCTCTTCTGCCATGACTTTGCTATTACAATAAACTGGTAGTAAATGCGGGAGGCTCCCCTTTACATGCCCCAGTGCCAGAGGGTGCTATCCATACCTCTCCTATACCATGGCCAATGCCTCACAGATGGCATCCAAGATGTAATCATATCCTGGCGCCTAACTCTGGCCTTTCTCATTGGGCTTCTTGCCCCTCACTCATACTGGGCTCCTTGCCCCACACACACACTCTGGGCTCCTTGCCTCTTGCTAGGCTCCATGCCCCTTGCTAGGCTCCATGCCCTTTCCCAAACTAGGCTCCTTGCCCCTCATTCACTCTGGGCACCTTACCCCACTCTGTACCCCCTTTGGTCCTGCTGACCTCCTTGCCTGATTACCCACTAGGATCTGGGGGCTGGAGTTATGGGGTGCCCCACCTCACCTTTCACCAGGGAGGTAACTGGCCTGGCATTTCTGGGGAACTCCCTTGCCACAAAGAGCCCCACCAAGCCACCTT